AACTGAGGAATTAATTTGCTGTGGTTAAGTTGGGAAAAATCCTTTAATAAAAGCATATTTAAAACATCATTTAAGGAACACTAAAGATTTCACCAAATAGCTGGATATAGCAGTGAAAAATATCTGTCATAGCAAGATAACTAAATCCTAATACCTACTCTACAACAACTCACTTGCAATCTCATTTAGCAGACCGTCATCATTATCATCTTTATACATAATTACTGAAAAGGTAAATTTCCATTAGAAAGCCCATCTGTTTTACATAAAAAGAATAGGTTATACAAGTTTTTGTTCTGAAAACATTTTCCCTTACTACACCATCATTATTACTGGTAGATAATCAGCAAGTTAATTTCAGTAGCAGCTTCATTAATGGATTTTAATTTCATTTTCTGCCTAAGGGACTCAAGAAATTCAAAGAAACAGACACAGAAATGGAAAAGTACTGACAGAGATGACAGGGAACGTAGGACAGTACCTAGATGGATACTACTGTTCTTTTCAGCATCTTACACTCCTCTCTGTTCCTTTCTCAAATGCAGGTGTGAAATCCTCCCACTGTTTAGGAAGATTTTATTTCATTAATTTTCAAACACTTTGAGGAATTAGGACTATCATTTTTCTATAGCGGAACTATCAGCCAGCAGTGGTACAATTCAAAACACCATACCTATCTTTCTCTTCTAAAATTGACAACCATTTGTTTTCACTCAGCAAGCTGCTCTCAGTAAGGGAAGCAACATCCTTACTTTAACCAGAGTTAAGATAACTTCCCTCAAATACGTTTTTCTTCACATACAGTTACGCTCCAGCTTTTCCTTAGTGATCTCACATTGTAGTAGGAATAAATTATTCTCTCAATCATCAATACTTGCCTCATTACAGAGAAAAAGCAACAAAACAAAACAGAACATCAGTAGTAAGAAGCCCAACGATTTGTCTGCAGATCTTGCTTCTAGCCAGCTTTGAAATCCTATCCTTAGCCAAAAACAGGTTTAAAGAAATCTGTTAATACAGTAAGTGAAAGAAAGATGGCTGGTCAACAGGCTTGGATACAAACATCTCCCCTTCTAGTTCTGGTTTAAATATGCTTCATGAGTGCAGACTTCCATACAGTGTTCTCCTATGGTGGTCCAGTTTTTTGCTAATGAGAACCTCTTCTGATTAGGTACAGCAGTGCCCCACACAATGCTGCTTTTCTGACAAGGTAAAAGGCCAGCTAACACAAATGGGTTGGTCGTATGCGTATAAGTAATATGGTACATGTGTTGTTCAGTAGAAATAGGTGAAAATTTAAAAACAAGCTTGGTGTTCATCTAACAATTGTTAAGCTTTCATTTTTAAACTACCTTTAAATGCCAAATTTCATAAAGGTGAAATTTAACTAAAACATACAACTTTTTTTTCTTAATTTAAACTTTTAAAAGTATCATTCATGTTTTATTTTATTTAGAAAGCAGGACTGCTTCCTTTATTAAATGTCTTAAGTAACTCATACCAGATATGATAAAGATCTACACTTATTCTTTGGAAACAGCTTAGATTCTGTTATTTATCATTAGGACAGCAGAGAGCAGGATGATGACTGGCAAATTAAGACTACTTGTGCTTCACCACAAGAAGAGAGAAAAATAGGAGTGCTGGGATTGCTGAAGTGAAACATCTAGGAGAGGTCACAGTGGCAGACTTATGAAGTGTAAAGGTTTAATAGAAATCTAAGTTCTTCAGTTAAGTCCTATGGAAGGTTATTCAATTAGAAAGATATTCTTATGATTGCAAATATCTAATAAATATATTTACTTTCTAATCATAAGACATTTTACTGGGAACTCCAGTATTGAAACAGGCAAAAAATGTCTGCTTTTCCCCAAACACTGCATTAATAAAACTGAAGAAAAACTCCATTTAAAAAAAACCACAAAATACTCGCAAGCCGTCATAGTAATGACGGCAGTAATAAAACTGTTAGATGGGAAGCTCTATTTCAAAATGGCTCTTTCCGGAAAACTCTGAATTTTAAACATTTTTTTATCTCCAAATTAGAACACAATTTTATGATGTAAAGGGGCATTCTTTTTTGGCAACACTAAGGAATGCACCTGCCTGAATACCATCCTCCTCCCACATGTTATTCCTAAAGAGAGGATAATTTTTTTTGAGAAGAAGTAGGGGCAAAAAAGAGAAAGGAGGGGGAAATTATAACTTTTCCCACATTTCCCTTAACAGTTTTGAGATGCTTCTTTTCCCCACTCTCCATCCTTTCCTTCCCAGCTATAAAAATAATCCCATTACCCATTATAGCAACTTACACACTTCTGTGCAGCACATCACATACTCAATATTTGATTCTGAAAAATGTTTGCAGTGACAGCACTGGCAAAAGCTAAAAAATAAGCTCTAAAATCAGTCTTCCTAAGAAATCTGTTAGCTTTCCCAACAATATAGATTTGAACTTTGGCATCTGTTTTCCACATATCTGGATTCTGTGAATATTTGGCATCTGTTTTCTACATACCTGGATTCTGTGAATATTAGGAATTCTTCTATTACACAAGCAAAGACTGAAATGACTGTGTTTGAAGAAAATTCCAGTTCCTCAGTATAAGAACATTTTTAATGTTTTTTTTTAGAGTGTAGAGAGAATACAGTTCCATAATGCTCCTCCATTTCTGATTTAATTTCTTTATGGCATGTAAGGGCAGGCTGACTGAACATTTTCTTTTTAAATAATCCGGAGTCCCATATCCAAAAGTAAGCAAACAGAAAAAATTTATATAAATTTAAATACATCCATCTGGGATGGATCTATCTGGGTCATCTAGGACCTAACAGTTTTGTTCCCTGTATACTATGTACAGTATGGTCCTTGCCCAAAGCTAAGTTCTGACTGGCTAAATGTAACCTTCCTGTCATGGCAATGACAGCTGGCTCCTGGCTCTGCACAATTAGATCATACAATGTATAAAAGTAATGTATGTTTTCTTCCTGAAATGTGAATGCCAGCAGAATACATTGTTTTTGGAAAGCTATACCAGGTCTATAAAATTCGGTGAACTACACATCTCAGACTTCACACACACCCGTGAGAAAAGATTTCCTTCCCACAAGGTTCAATGACCGTGTTACATGATCATACAGTTCCAAAAGTTGCAAACCTACACAAAGAGCATAGAGAGTAAGTACAATTAGCTGCTGCACATAGCATGCTGCAAATGTGTTGATTCCACTTCAGAACTCAAATCCAAACACTCTGAAATACACAAAATGCTTTTTATTACACAGACACCTTTTTATCTTAACGTGTAACATAGTATAACAGCTGTGGTCAGGACCTTCCAAACCTGATGAAAGAAAGTGATCTCACTGTAGCAACAATCAATGAACTCATCACTATATTTTGAAATCCTGCTTCTTCTTAAAATAATCCATACCAAAGATAACGTGTGTTTCCAGAAAATAAAACAATCCTTCCTCCTCCAACAGCAGTTTTCTGAAACTGAGCCCTTCAGACAAGACTTTTTAATCGCAATGAAACCATTAGATTCAAACAACCACTGAAGTATGTACGTATTTAAAAACAAACTTGTTACCTTTCCTCTGCTAAAGGCTCATGAGAACCTAAAATAGTAAATACAAGTCATTACTTTTTTTGTTTTACCTTAAACAGTATCATTTCTTTGTCTGACAGATCTCTTAAGTGGAAGATATAGCTGCATGATGTGCTTACTGTCTCTTAACAGCTAAGTAGTAAGAGGAAACTAATGCCCTATTGTTGTTAACATTTTGCTATTTTGACATGAATTCTCCTATCATTCCCACTTATGTGGGCATGGTTCACAGCATGATTTTGGTGTGTACAAACTACATTTGATTTCTGAGGAAACTAAACCAGAACTTCTGCTCCATGTGTATACCAAATGAACTCTACCTCGCAACATGGTGTTAGAGTCTACACCAATGGCTTAGCTCCTCAGACATTTTCACTAGTGCTTTGTGGAAGACACATAGTCTAGAGAACCAGACAAAACCTAGTCTGAAGTAAACCCCTCAAATTCACACTCTACAGATGCAGAAGCATCTGCAACAACAGCTTTAGTGCACTCATTTGCTTCTACTGCATTAAATTATTTGTCACAGTAAACAAAGCCTAAGACTGTACCTTAGTATTAAACATCAAGGACCCTGCAGGTATTTTCTCCTGTGCTTGCATAAAACTGTTTTCTGTTTTTCCAATTATATGAGCAAGTGTTCCTCTGAAATTGCTTCAGTAAATGGTATTTCCATTGACTATCATATCAAAGCAGATATAGTAGCCTTCAGTAAGCTTCAGTAGCTTACTAAAACTGAGCAAATAAAACCACTGTTTATGAAGCAGCTCTGCAAACTCATCCTGTGCTTTCTTATCTAGGTAGCACATTTTAGCTATTGAGCCTATTCGTAGCTGTAAAATCTAGTTCACTCTCCTTTAATTGTGCTGGCTTTACACAGATGAAAAATAGTAACATTTTATTGCTGTTACTGAAAAAAAATCTTCCCAAGACTGCATCAACTTACAAGACTGTATATTAACAGAGACTTATCTGGCTCTTTCACAATATAAACAACATAAGTAAATTCAGTTAAACTCTGAGGTTACATTACTTTAAAAGACACACAATTGTAGAACCTTTGCAATATCAGCTTTCTTGCCAAAACCACTTTAGAAAGCATTCTCTTGTGTACCACAGAGAGACTTCTACCAGACTTGCCGAAAAGTATTTACAGTAATAACTATCACTCTCCAAGGCCAGGATTTTGTTTACTATCTTTCTTGGTGAAGAACTGATCAACCATCTTTCCACAGGAATCACTGTAATGTCATCAGACATTACAACTCCAGAACAATTACTCTGGCAAGATAGGAGTAACTCCTCCCATAAGCAGAGCAGCACACTGCCTTCACACAGTACATGCACCCTTGGGAGGAAAGTGAAGAGACAACAGACCTTCAGTGTTACCTATTTGTCTCTCTAGATCTGCTGCTTCATCTGGTGTTGCGCGTGGAAGGACACCAGGATCACTGAAACTAGTACGCAGCAGGGTCCCCATCACGAAAAAGAAAAGAATCCCACCAATTGCAGGTATAGCAGGTGTAATCTTCTCCGACAAATATGGACAACTGGAAAAAGAAAAAAGATTAAACATAATCAATAACACATAGTGCAACTTGCTCTCAAAAATTGTTTACCATTATAAATGCATATGAAGAGTTCACTTCTATCAAGACATTACTTATCTTGGAACGTTTACTGAAGTTGAAATTTCTGTTTATGTGTTCATGACACTTCTGAAATTTCTCATAATCTGTTTAATATAATAAAGGTCCAAATGGCATAATAATGACCTCACTAATATGCAGTACTCATTTACATAAGAAAAAATTTTTATTACAGGATATAAGTTCATCTATTTGTTCATCTACTGCCCAATTACATAAAGTAGACTGGAGGGGGGGATAACCTGAAGATATTCAGCAATAAAAAGCAAAGCACAAAACATGATGAAATAAGCCACACTGAAAAATGTAATTAAGTCCATAAAATGAATTTATTGTCCATCACAAAGATGGTGTTCAAGAGCTTACACCAGTGACACATTCCTTTAATAGCCTTGGTATATATCAGTATTACAACACCACCATTGATTCTCTTTCTTAATCCATTTCTTGTAGATGAGTAAACAAGCTTACCAAGTTACAAAGTAAGACCAGTGCAAATGACAGTGCAACACACCTGAAAACAAATAACCCATGGGGGTCTAGGGCAACATCAACAGCCCTTTACCAGCACAAAAAAAGGCTCTGGTTACCAGATTTACAATATACATGCAGGGCTTAAGACTGGATCACAGTTTTAGCAAATTTTCCTCTATGCTTCACATGTCATAAAATCAAAATGGACAGAAGCACTGGAATCTAAACAACACACAAATATAAATATCTCCTTACAGTTGCGCAAAAAGAAGGGATATGAACACTTAGACATTACACAGTATACCATTCCCGTTAGAGTCATACAATAAGCACTGCAGGATCATCTTAGAAAACACACAGGCTGAAGACTCTCCTCATAGCTCTTATATTAAATAGAGGTGGGCAAAACAGAGATGGCTTCATGCATTTCTCATGTCTGCATGAGAAGTCAAAAAATAAGCCTAAAACCAACATAAGCCAAAACCCAACAAGTTCTAGGCCTTATGGCTCATCTAAAACTTCCAGGTATCAATCAAGTTCAATTAACATAGTCTTCCCTGTTTCTGCTGACTGCCTTAAATGATGATTCAGACATGCAAGCTTTTGCACTGCAAGTCAGTTAACCTCACAGGAATGTTAACTCTGAGCAAGTGATGACAACGTCAGCTTCACTGTCCATCACTTCTGCCAACAGGATGGGCAGAGAATGGAACCGCTTTTCGTAACAGCTACCATGTACCAAGCATTTATCTCCCTGCATAATTCTATTAAATGTACTTGGCTGTTTCATTGAATGCCGTGGTTGCACAGACGCAGTGAGTCCAAATGCATTACACGGTGCATCATACCATCACTATGAGTGGAATTCATCTTTTGCCCTACATGAATGTAATGTTACAGGTGTAACAAGTTACAAAAGATTAAAAAGACAACTGGGTATAAAAAAAGAGGTGAGGAGCAAGAGATACTGTAGTTTCATATGATGAATAGACTGTTTAAATACTAGGAAACGTACTTCAAATGCACACTTTTAGAAAATCTGCTTCAAAGCCCCAGATTTATGAAATCAGTGCTAACTAAAGGAAGCAGCAGCAGGACAGCTGGTAGATATAAGCCTTGCTCCATTCATGTCAGAGAAGTCAGCCAGAACGAACAACCGAAGAGAATCTTTCATACCACATAAATGTCCTACTGCTCAATTTATTTCTTGCCACAAAGGATTACTGAAATCAAAACTACTGTAATATGCTCAGACAAATAGGCTGCAAAAACGTATTTTTAAAAGGATTAGAGGGAACATGTACATTAATGAACTCTAAATATAGCACAGTGCTATTATTCTTCTGTTGCATTATTCATTACACATACCAAAGAAATTGCAACTGTGATGAAGTCTGTTGACCAAACAAGAGTTGTATGTGTGTGAAAGGTACCATGAGATAATCTCAGGGCAGCACAGTAGGTGCAATACAATTTAGACAGGTACCAATGCAAAAACAGCAATGGTGTCTACCTACACAAATTCTCAGTGATACTAAACAGCATGAAAATGAGTAGCTGTGTCTTGCTGAACCAAGTCCATCTGCAGTGAAAAAAAACCCAAACAAAAACCCCCAAACATTCTCAAAGCACTGCACACTCTTCATCATAGGCAAGTGTAAGTTAATCTGCTTTGCCTAAAGGTGTTTCCAGGATTTAACAACCTGTATTTTATCAACTTTCACTTGCAATTACTTCAGCAATAATGTAGAAAAGACCGAAGATGTCATCTTTAGCAATAATAACCCACTAATGCTCCATCAATTCAGAAATTATTTCAAGCTGAGAAACCAGTCCTTACAGAGATTCAGATAGTAAGCCTAGGCAGAACCATTCAATCTGTCTGACTTACGTACAAACAGACCCTATAATATTACATGGGCCTGCAGAGAGCTCAATGATATCTATCCTTTAAAAAGGCCCAATTAATGTTTCAAATTCCTATCAATTAATTTTAAAAAAATAAATAAATCAGATACCATATAGACCATTTTTTTCATGTCTGTATAAAAAAAGGGAAAAAAATGTCTTCATATCTCCTGCATTATTAAAAAAACCACTACAAGTGGCTTCAAATTAAAAATGCAGATTTCAGCTCAAAATTGTCAATACATCTGTAGAAAAACACTTACATATTTATATAATTTATATTTGCATGCTTATATAATGAATCTATTTGTACTGCTACATTAAGTCAACATTATTTTAAACAATTTGTTTTAGTGTTACTGCTTTTAGAATTGCCAAATACTGTACACAGAAAAAGATTATTCCCAATATTTGTTCAAATTCCTTAATTAATTTGCTGCAATTAAGTTTGCATCCCTTCAGGCATCAGCTTTCCTCAGATATTACAAGAAATATCTTTTCTGGATGGTATGTTCATTGAGTTTTTAAAGTAAACTTTAGCAGGTACTTCCTGACAGCAAACTTCAGAACTTTCATGCAAAGGGACTCCCCACACAGAGGACTGCCCACCTGCAGCACCACTTACGATAAAGCAGCACAGAGCTCCAGAACAAATCTCTGTCCTACCACAGAGCAAATAGTGACAAACCTTTTTAAATCAGCACTTGGTAACTACTAGACATGAACTGACATCCTCAGTTTACATTTTAGACACAGTAAAACAATTGTTTTTAATCAGTATCTGTAATGATAGCAAGTACTGACTAGGTCCATCACAGAAAACACATTTTTAGGAAGTATTACTTGGCCACAGATCCCACTAGCAATTGTTATTCTGGAAATAGCTTCTTCAGGGAACAGTGTTTGGATTTGCACACAGTAACCAGTAACACAACCTGAAGTTTTGACTTAATTAATAGAGGAGCTTTATGCAAATCAGCCCTGCTTTTTGCTTGGCTTCTCAGCTGCTTTTCTGAAGCATCATGTGAAAGTTTGCATGCATGTAGGAGGGAAATAAAATCTGCTGGACAACTAGTCTGTCACAGCTAGATAAAAATAAAAACACACTAGTATTTAAGTGATAATTATCAAGTATCATCCCTGTGAACAAAGGATGCAGGAGAACAACAAAAGTAATTCTTACCATCCAGCAGCCCTCTTAACTGTGTAACCATGTTCCCTGTGGCTACCAAGATCAGCAAAAAAAATACACATAGTAACTCCACTGAAGAGCACACACTGTGAGAGTCCTCAACTTTCAAGCTCTTTCGTTAGAAAAGAGGAGGAAAGAAAAGAAGCCTCCTTAAGGCCTTTCCTGGAAAGATGAAGGCTTTCCTGAACAGTTCACTGACAATTATTTTTATTCACTGATGGGGAGATACAATAAATGACAAATCTTTCCAGTAGGGTAATGGATATTTGGAGATAGTCTAACTTGGAGAGAGGCTAACCCTGTAGTTACAAAAAAACATTTGTAACAAACACAACCACTTACTAAAGAGCATAAAACCCACAGGGTTTTATACCTGTGAGAAATTGGAGATCTCGCTTAATACTTGCTAACCTGGCAGGCAGAAAACAATAAAAGTACAGATTTTATGCAAAGATATAGTAGTCATCACACTTAATTACACCAATTAAAAAAAAAAAAAAAAAAGACCCCTACAAGCGTGGCTAGCAAGACTGATAATAGGATACTATATGTCAAGCTTTTCATCAACATAAAACCTCTTTGAAGCAGATATAAAAAAAAAAGTACTCTAGGAAAAGCATAAGTATAGTTGAACCAAGTAACATACAGAAAGAAATTACTGTTCATCTTCCTACATCATCAATTTATGTTTCTGCATGTACCACCTATTTAATATACCAGTAGCTATTGGTGTGCAGGTGGTGTCCAATGCTAAGAAAGAAGGCTTGCGCTGCAAACGCTGGGTTTGGTTCCACATGTTATAAGTTAACGTCTGAATGAAACTGTGCTGCTTTCCCTAAACTAACGCAAAGGTTTTGTTGTTTGTCCTTTCACTCTTTTTTATGGCTCCTCTCAGCTTCCCCTTCCTTTCAACTCCACTGCATCATTGCTACAAGCCACTCGGTCCCAAACTTCTGCCCTTCATCAGCTTCTCTTGTGAGCTAAGTTAGTTTACTAAAATGTACAAAACTGACACCATTTTGTTGACTTCTCTTTCTGCCTCTTTAACAAATCAAATACATGCTTGGAAAGAAGCATTGATACTAGCACAACAAAAAAGAGACAGAAGCACACACAAAAACTAAAGCGAGAGGGAACATGGGACAGATGGAGGAGACCTCCATTTCAGCAACGGTCAGTAAGGTTTTCATTCAGACCACTGCCTCTTGTGAAACCACATTCTAACCTTGACCTGCTTCAATTTAAAGACAGCAACAGAATACCCATATAGATAGATTAAAGGCAAATCAAGACTCTGGGCTAGAAGAACAAAAATGGCTTATAATTT